GCTCTGCTCCTCCACAAAAGATCTGCAGCAAGAGAGAAATCAAAAGTGCTGTAATATCTCTGTTGAAATATACTACAAATAAACAATTAGATTGATTTTTAATTATTTCTGTATACTCACTCAAAGCCTTTGATGGCAGCATTCCGCTTTCCGGTGAAGAGGGCTTCATGAGCCACTCTCCACCGGATAAGCAGCCGCGTGTGCTCATCCGTCCCTGTAACATCCAAACAAGACTCACGTTACCTCTGTGATTTATAAGCTCAATTGTACTATGATATGTTGAGCATAATTGTTCCACTATTTTTCAACAATACTAATGGACAAATGAAATAGATTACTTATGTTTAGATACTTTATGTGTATTAAACATTCGAATAAAAACAGTGTTGACAACAGTGAATTATCTTAAACAATAGTACACATACATAACTCAGAAGTCTATTTCATATGTACTAGATGCAGAAATATGCAATTCTTATTAGATTTTCTTACCAGATATTAAATAAACATTTACTAATTGTATTTAAGATGCATATGGTTTAAAATGTATGCAAATCCAGTTTAGAGACGTAACTTTATGTGTCCTTACTGGAGCTCCTCTGTTAACTATACAATAAAATGTGATTTAAAGCAAAATCACAAATGTATCATACTATATAGTGTCTTTACACCTTCAACAATTCAACAGTTTACTGTCCAGTAGTTCAACACATGAGATAATTTGAATGGTAATATCTAATACTCACATTTGAAACCACTCTCGTCCATCATCATGTCGTCTGGCGTCATGTTCGAGTATGAGCTATCCTTCGTCTTCTTTTATATGACGTATCCTCTCGCGTGGCCTCCTGGGATAGATGAGTATCATGAGTAGCCGTGGAAAAGCACTCAAAAATCTGGGCGGAAGCAGTAAGCCATCCGGGAACTTCTCGCCTACTCTTTTTATGAAAACTGATGTTTGGAACGTACTGCTTCCTTCACGTACTGTTTTTGCCTACTATATAGTAGGAAAGTAGGCATATTGGAACGCACTTAAGTCCGAATCTCGCGACAATTACTACGTCACCCAGGTAATTCTCGCCTACTCTTTTGGATTCATTCATACTTTTTTGCTCGCCTACTCTTTTTCCCATACTAAATAGTAGGGAAGTATGCGGTTTGGAACGCAGCCACTCTTTATCTAGAGACACAAACACACACCAAAACATTCAGTCAAAACACAATCCAACACATGAAACATCAGACTACATTACCAGTTACTGGTCTGACTGTTGTGCTGCTGGTGTTTGTAACTGGAAAAAAAAAAAAAGATGAATATTTATGAAGCACAGTACGAGGAAAATGGCCAATTTGCCTGAACAATCCTTACACGTAAAAATAGCCAGTTTTTTTTTTTTTTTTTATCTAGGTGAATTAATTTAAAACTTTTCTGAAGTTGATGAAGGAAACAGCTAAAACTTTTTTCAGGAGTTTCAGGAGACAGTTCTGCATTGATAAAGCAGATCCACACGGCTGCTTTAATGGTCAAGTGACTGTGTTACAGTGGTTTAGATAAGGCCTCTGGTCGAGCACGGAGAAGAGCTTACAGATCAACTGTCTGGAAATGAAAGCGGTTGGTTTGGCCCTGAAAGCATTTCTGTCAAACCTCAGAGGTCACCACGTCTTACTCCGCACGGACAACATCACAGCCACATGTCAGCGGTGTCCTACATAAACCACCAGGGGGCATCAGGTGAGGAAACCTGTATGCTGTGGCGAGAGACCTCCTTTTATAGGCACAGACCAATCAGGGACCCTGCCGTCCAGAGTTTGGGTGTGGATATGCTCTCACGAGGAAACACTCCCCTAGGAGAGTGAGAGAATCATCTACAGTGTGTGTGTGCTGTTCACACTCTGTATTTTGGCCAAGCATGCGCGCTTAAAATAGCATCTGAGTGTACGCACAACGGCCACTTTAGATTAGTTTTTTAGACTGGTCAGTGGCGCAATTGTTTTCTAGAACTGCAAAAGAGCACCAGGGATTGTTTGCTGGAACATGCCTCCTTTTTTGCGCTGAACCGCCCAGAGAGCACAAGTTCATTCCCTAGTTTACCAACATCCGTTTGTGGAGGGAAAAGTCTGCTTTCCTTGGGGATAAACATATACCACCAGTGGATTTCATCTGTGTCTGAAGAAAGTTGCAGTTTGTTCTTATTTCTCTCTCTTTCAGTGCTTGTTCACAGCGTTTGAGTTATTGAATGAATGTTCAGGAACATCACGCTAACCTTTAAATAACATTTTGATAAATGTATAAATTATTTTTTTTATTACTTTTTTATTTTTTCCGTTCACAGGACCAACATTGAATATTTGGAGAACATTCTTGTAACTAAACTCTGTTAGCTGGGAAACTTTGTGGTTTATAATAAAATAAACGTTTATTTAAATAACGCTCGCGCTCTGCGAGGCATGGCTTAGTTCAATGTAAGGTTCTTCATTTCATTAACTCCAGACAAGCTGAAATTTACCCAAATGTTAGTCCTGCATGCAACAGGTGTTTGCAGTCACCGCAACAACTGCCCATATGTTCTGACTCTGTCCTGATTGGAGGAGTTTTGGAGATATGTATGGCATCCAGATTGACCCAGATCCCTTAAAGGGTTAGTTCACCCAAAAATGAAAATTCTGTCAGTATTTACTCACCCTTATGTTGTTCCAACCCCGTAAGACCTTCGTTCATCTTCCGAACACAAATTAAGATATTTAAGATATTAAGATCGCTCCTGCATACAGTCCATAGGCTTCTTGAGGGAATGACTCTTGCTGTCCCCGAAAAGTCATTAAAGACATCGTTAAAATGGTCCAAGTGACTACAGGGGCTCAATCTTAAGTTTATCAAACGACGAGAACACTTTTGTGCGCAAAAAAACAACAAAAATAACGACTTTATTTCAACTATTGGTTTATTTCTCCCTCTGCGCGAGTCAGGTTACTAGTTTAATAGCGTAAGCTTCTGTTATTGTACGTCACACGCATCACACACACATGACCAGCGTCGGCCAATAGTGAGCCTACGTGTGACGTAGCTCTACGCAATCACACTACGTTAACTGACTTACAGGCTCATGGAGAAGGAAGTGAATAGTTGAAATAAAGTTGTTATTTTTGCGCACAAAAAATGTTCTCGTCATTTGATAAAGTTAAGATTGAGCCCCTGTAGTCACTTGGACTATTTTAACGATGTCTTTAATGACTTTTCGGGGACAGCAAGAGTCATTCCCTCAAGAAGCCTATGGACTGTATGCAGGAGCGATCTTAATATCTTAAATATCTTCATTTGTGTTCGAAGATGAACGAAGGTCTTACGGGGTTGGAACAACATGAGGGCGAGTAAATACTGACAGAATTTTTGGGTAAACTAACCCTTTAATGTGCATTTTTGGTGTTGCTTCCGAGGATTTAGAACTCAGGAAAGACATTCACTCTGTTATTGCCTTCACTACATTACTGGCAAGATGTTTAATATTATTTCAGTGGAAAGAGGCAGACGCTCCAACACATAGCAACTGGTTGAAAGAAGTGATGTCTTACTTTCAACTCGAAAAAATTAACCTGATTCGAGGTTTGAAACATTTCAAGACACATGTTCCCCCTTTAAAAGATATTTTGAAGACCTCCTCTGCCTCTATGGAATAATCTGCCTTGTTAAATTATCTTTATGGGGATTTTTTGTTGTTTGTTTTTTTTTTTCTTTTGTTTTTGTAATGTGTGTATGCCTGTCTTTTATAAATCCCTGTTAAAACCATTATATTATTATTATTAATATTATAATTATTATTATTGTGTCAGTACTCTTGCTTTATAAAGTGGGATTTATATATTTTTTTGAAGATATGCCAATTCTTTGGAGCATATCCCTTCATTTATTTATTCTTCATATTGACTATGTTTCATATTATATGTTTCACACGCTATAGCATGACCAAACTTGGTGTATTTAGTTGCCATTTCAACACTATATAGAGAAAAAAACTGACAAATCTTTGTAAGATATCACTGAACATTTATTTAACCAGCGAAAGTACATTTCCTACTTAAGTTATTTTTTCATCTCTATTTTTGGTGTTTAATTAAAATTAGACAAATCTGATATTTTTTTTAATCTCTAATCTGTTGTTTAACAGTTGATATTGTTATTTAATGCTTCGCTAACTAGCAGACACTAGCAGGGTTTAAACCCCAGTTGTGCAGGTGGGGCATGTTGTCACACTGCGTTACATTGTGCCCCTATTAGAAATATGCTATCATATTATGTAGTTTTGTGAATTCTATTGAGAAAACATGAGAAACATGTAAATAAAGACTGAGAGTCAATGTTAATTATAATTATTATTTTGTTTTGAACTATGCTGTAGCTGTGTTTTCCAGTGTGTTTGTTGTCAAACTCAAAATTTTTTATATGAAAAAGTTAAAAATAATAATTGTAATAATTGTATTTTTTTAAGAAAAGATTTTGGTTTGACTTGTATATTTTTTGATTAGATGAGATAGCATTTTAAGTTATGGTGATGTTATGGTGATGTTACAATGAACCCCACCTATGGGGCATGTTGTCACATTAACACTTCTTTCAGGGTAAATCGAGAAAAATAATGTGTCTAACCCTGAGAAATCCACTGTAGCAATGGATTAACAAAAATCAACTGGAGGAAACAATATGTTGTTAGTATTTTCTACAGTAAAGTACTGGCAACAACAGCTGATGTTTTTATTGAATTATAGTCGTGCAGTGAATATTTTATTCTTCTGACACAAGCACACATCTATCCAATGGTACAGAGCGGTGTTTCCTAAAAGCATCGTAAGCCTTAGTTGATCGTAGAGGCCATTGGTGTCCGCTGCTCTGCCATCAACTCAGACTTATGATGATGCTTTTGGGAAATACAGCCCTGATCTGTAGACTACATACATTAGAAAACATTCAGGAAATAAGCCAATAGAGACACAGTGTGTTACATTACCAGGTGAGATGGTCACTGGTGTGACAGTTGTAGGGCTGGTGTTAATGCGGTCAGTGTCTGAAAGTTTGGATGAATAATGATTAATCAACAGAAACACAAATATCATGAATGTGTAGAAAGAGCTCATGTGAATATAATTACCTGCACAGTATGCCATATTACAGGTAGTTGGACTGACCAGCTCATAGACATAATAATCTCCTGGACAGGCTTTGACTTTAATGGGATAAGACCCGTAAAAGCAGCAGAAACTCACAGCGTCACCGCAGACATCTCGAGTGACGACTCCATCTGTTACTGTTGGGTGTCCACCACGGATCCACAGTGCGATACCAGTGCCACATCTGCCCTGAGCAACACACGTGTCTGGGATATGAGCGCTAGTGCTGTTAATGAAGAGACGATACCAGCCGCTCCAGGAGACAGACTGATCACACATGGAGCCAGGTCCATTACTGATGGATCTCCATGGATTGTCCAGCACAGTGTAGGTGTTGCAGGGGTCTGACAGATTAGATGTAGTGAAAATATATTAAGAATATAACAAGTTTCTGAAAAACATGTTTTATTACAAAATGTAACCAAAATTGCAGCATCAGACATCACTTTCTTCTTCTTCTTCTTCTTCTTCTTCTTTTGCTGATTCAGAGCGATTCATTTCGATCCACAATATTTTTTCAAATGCATTTATAGTATTATTAAAACATCAATACATCTTAAAGAAAATATCTTAAATTGGAAGTAAACATGTTACACACCAGTATAATCATTTACAAATTATTATTATTATTTTTTAAAATATTTTATTTCCATTTTAGAAATGACCACTTTAAAATGACCATTGTTAGGTTTTCAGTGGGAATCCTGGTCCATAAACTAATATTAAAGTAACAATCTGGTATTCAGTTTCCTCCATATTTCATATGCATTTAATGAAAAAAAATGTTTAAAGAAAATGATTTGGTAACACTTTATTTGAAGGGGTGTGCATAAGACTGACATGACACTGTCATAAACATGACAAAACACCTGTCATGAACATGAAGGAGTCTTTATGAATGTTTATGACTGTTGTCATTAAGTGTCATTCGGTAAATTGTGACACTTTTAATGCAAAGTTGACATTGTTTAAAATGTCTTGATTATGACAACTTGACATTAACAAAGATAAAAATGTCTTGATTATGACAAGTTGTCATAACAAAGACAATTCTGTCTTTGTTAATGTCAAGTTGTCATAAACCAAGAAATCATAACTAGTCCAACGTGTTCCACTTTAAAGTGTTACCTACTACAGTGATAACACGAGTTATTTCTACCTGATTTAAAGTCTAATTTTGTTGTTGTGACCTAATTCAATCAGATTTCTGTAACATAAAACAATGCTGATTGAACTTAATTGAGTTACATTGATCCTATACTCAACTTCCACTAAAGCTCAGGATGGCCAGATTGGACACGTGCGCACTACGACTGCACCAGACCTATAGAGGGCAGTATAGTCGTGACTCGTGTCAGCTACAGGACGTCTGCTCTGAAGAACACAGAAGAAGAAAGGGTGTGTGTTTGGCTGCTTCTTGCTGATTGGTCAATTTTGCCTCATTAAGAAATAGTTGCCAGTCCTTGATTCTGATTGGTCAATAACTGTGTTCTATTGAGAATAAGGACAGCTATGATTGGATCAGCCAATGGTTCTATGTGTTACTATACGACACCCCTAGCAACGTGAACATGTGTTGATCATAGAGGCCATTGGTGTCCGCTGCTCTGCCATCAACTCAGACTTATGATGATGCTTTTACAGCCCTGATCTGTAGACTACAAACATTAGAAAACATTCAGGAAATAAGCCAATAGAGACACAGTGTGTTACATTACCAGGTGAGATGGTCACTGGTGTGACAGTTGTAGAGCTGGTGTTAATGCTGCCAGTGTCTGAAAGTTTGGATGAATAATGATTAATCAACAGAAACACAAATATCATGAATGTGTAGAAAGAGCTCATGTGAATATAATTACCTGCACAGTATGCTGAATGACAGAAAGTTGGTCTGACCAGTTCATAGACATAATAATCTCCTGGACAGGCTTTGACTTTAATGGGAAAAGACCCGTGATAGCAGCAGAAACTCCCAGCGTAACTGCAGACATCTCGAGTGACGACTCCATCTGTTACTGTTGGGTGTCCACCACGGATCCACAGTGGGGTTATAGTGCCACATCTGTGCTGACCAACACACGTGTCTGAGATATGAGCGCTCATGCCGTTAATGAAGAGACGATACCAGCCGCTCCAGGAGACAGACGTGTCACAGTAGTAGTTATATCCATTACTGATGGATCTCCATGGATCGTCCAGCTCAGTGTAGTTGTTGCAGGGGTCTGACAGATTAGAGGTAGTGAAAATATATTAAGAAATTAACAAGTTTCTGAAAAACATGTTTTATAACAAAATGTAACCAAAATTGCAGCTTTAGACATTACTTTTCTTCTTCTTCTTTTGCTGATTCAGAGCGATTAATTTCCATCCACAATATTTTTTTCAAATGCACTTATAGTATTATTTAAACAGTGTGCTCTTCCATTATAAAGTGTCAAAGTTTTCAAAAGTTGGATTGAGTACATAATGTTTAATTACATTCATGTTAAGAGTGTCAGAAATATATTACGAAGTGTTTTATGTATGGAGGAATTAGATATAATAGTTTTAAGTACAGCGGTTGTGTGTGCGTCGACTGAATGCGGTGATTTTGAACGATTAATTAATTGGTCTTTGATCCGTGTAGGTGTTCAAATGACAGAAGCAACATTTAATGCTGTTGTGGCTCACTTTTTTGTTATTGTGACAGTTTATTTTCCTTAGATATTGTTTGTAATGCCATTTTGATCCATTTTATTGTTAATCTGATTATTTACTGTCATTGTGACGCTGAGTCTGCTTTGAGTGCGCTGAGGAGAGATGTTCAAATGACAGAAGCAACATTTAATGCTGTACACTCTTTATTTCATCCATGCTTCTGAATGCACACAAAAAATAAACTCTCCAGATCAGCAGCAGATCCAGTTGTTCCGTGTCTTCCTTCAGCTACACAACACAACGCAGATCGTAGTAGGGTCTGGCAGTCAGAATTGGGCCCGTTACACACAGTAACCAACAATGATGTCGATTTGACCATATTAAAGGGGCACTTGGCAACTCTAGTCATTTCTTTGCTGATTTTCACTTTTGTTTTGCATGTTTTCTCATCAGCGCCCTCTACAGTTGTGCGGCGTGTAGATTTTCACAACACGGTCATAAAAAAAAAACTCACTCGCGGCACCTTCCTCACGTTTTCTACCACTGCTTATGTGCAATTGTTATTTTCGGAGCCGGCCAACTTTGTGTGGAGCTATGTCTACCGAGTGGGTAATACATCAAACACTGTGTTATCATAGAATTATGTCTAATTGCCACAAAGCACTTCATGTTTCTCGCTTGTTCGATCGTTCTCGCTTCTCACAAGACTTCTATTTCCAACTTACCGGGACGTCAGTTTCAAGGTTGGTTTTTATTCAGTCCTGATCTCTGACATAAAGGTATATTGGTCGTTACTGTATCCAAGTGATTTAACAGCATAAATTCCTGATTTATTCAATATAATCCAAAAGATTTCTTAAAAGTTGTTCTGATCAAAAGTCGTTAAAAATGGAATTTTGTTTGGACACACAGACATCAATAATCAGCCTGTGATTCTCAACAATGGTGACAATAATAAAGCATGTTGCAGTGCATTCTGGGTGCCACCAATCAAAACTCATTCATGGCTCCCATCATACATTGCGGTATAAATAAATTATGATATGAATTGTCTTAGGAATATTCTTTGTCACCATAGTTGAGATTCATACACTGAATCTATATGTCTGTGTGTGCATGAAAGAGAGATTTTATTTTATCAGAACAACTTTTAAGAAATAGATTAGATTATATTGAGCGACCTGGAATTTATACGGTTGAATCACTTTGAATCTGTAATGACCAATATACATTCTAATCAGAGATAAGGACTACTTAAGTTTCATCAGGTGTCTCCAATAATGCTCAATCATCGCTCACTCAATCAATAACTTAAATAGCACATTAACTTTAACACTCTTCAGTGTTAATTTAACACTCCAATTTTAACACTTTAACACTCTTGAGTCTTTAACACTGTTGACTTTTTGCTGCGTAGTAACATTCTGGAAACTGGACTTGAAATGTTAGCAATCAACATTACTATCATGATGAATTTTTAAGCGAAAATTACGTTTAAAGAACGTTTGAGGAACATTATACCTTTTAAAACACGTTCTTCTAACGTCAAGAAAACTGGACATTTTTCACGTTCCCAGAACCAACACTGAATATTTAGAGAACGTTCTTATTAGCTGGGAAATCAGTTATAATCAGTAATCTTAAAATAAATGCATTTAGTTTCAACATTTCAACCAGTTATTGTAGATGAAATCATATGAAGTACATTTTCTAAGTTGAACTGACAAAAATATTTCTAGTGTACATTACCTGCAGTCGTCACCGGTGTTACAGTTGAAGTGGCCAAGTACAGTCTTAAGACATCTAAAAAATAATTATGAATAGAAATTAGTCAACATGTTACAGAAACAGAACACAATGAAAAAGCAGTCAAATAAACGTATGTGAATAGAAGCTTTTACTTAAAGTAACAGTTTGCCTAAAAATTAAAGTTCTGTCATCATGACTTTCACAGAATAATGTAAAGCTTTGTGTTTCTTTGAACACTCTGCTGGTGTTTCCCTTATGAACACCTATAGCATTATAATTCAGCACCGGGGAATTTACTGTGTGAGGTGACGTGAAGAATAAACAAGATCTGATTCACTGGTCATTACATCAGCATACAGACAAAAAGCAAAAAAAAAAAAAAAAAAAATGGTTTAGACTTACACAGAATCCCAGAGATGAGAGGATGAGCTTTTATAAAACCTGAAATATGAAGAACAAGTCAATAAAAACAACTGAAGTTGTATTGGATTGAGTCTGAGAAAACTACATTAATCATCCGTTCACAGTTCATGAGGTTTTTGGAGCAACGAGAGCTAACCTTTAAACACAAGACAATACTCACCTTTATGAAAGGAAGCCATTGTCAGTTTGGACAGTCCAGTTTTTTGTTTATTCACAAACCAGTTCAGAGGACGAGTTTCCTTCACAGTTAGAGAATATACAAATTAGCCATTGCATTTACATAAACAATAATAATAATAATGCAAACACACATATAAAACATTACACAGCATTTGATTTTGAGACTTTTAAAACAGTTTTTGCCAAGCATTATGCAATAAAGGATGAAACAACTTGATCAATTTCTCATTCTACGAGGAAGCTATTGGCTAATTCATACGAATGACCGACCCCTGACCCCGCCCCTAAACCTACACTCTAAAAAGAGATTGTTGTGTCAGTTTTAACACATGTAGTGAGTGTGCTCAGGGACAACACATGTTGTGTCAAATTTAACACAGTATATGTGTAAGTTATTTTAACACACAAATTGTCATTTTAAAAAATAAAGCAAAAGGGGCAGATATCAAAATATGAATCATATAGTCGAGTACAGAATGCATGTGCACACAAAGAACAAGACAATGTTTCAAGCTCAATGACTGGACAGACTCACTGTGCTGAACATTATTGAGTTATTCAAACTTCAACCCCTGATTGATAATGCTGCTTTTGACAAAAGTTCATGAAGAGAAAACAGTTTACCGAATTTGCACATTAGAATAAAATATAGAAACTGACAATATTTTGTAAATAAATAAATAAACTTTTATTTACACAGGTGTGTTTGTTTGAGAAATTACTGCATCTTAGAATCACAAATATTAGTTTCCCAAAAACATCAGACTTGAAAATTGTTGAATTGTAGAATGAAGTGCTCTCAGTTTCATCCTTAGAAATGTTAGTGAGAGTCCTGACCTGCTTAAAGCTCAAATTACTCAACTATAACGTAGTATTAACTTATATTAGTAGTACTATAACTACACACAAATCAATTTTACCTGTAACTGCACACACATCAATACATGTTTAGACATAAAGAGAGTGATGAGGATCATTATGAGCTGATATATCTTACCTGATATAAGCTGATATACAGTGATCCTCACTCGACACGACTGATGAAAAAGTTTGTATGTTGGCATGTTTATAGATAAGTTATCTGTCCATCATTCTAATGAGGAAATATGAGCCCAAGTCCACTGTTTTCCTTCCTCAAATTCAAATACAACTTTCCACACAATACACAGTGAAATCCCCCGTGTTAAATTACTCCTTAGAGTACATAATGTCCAACTACAGGGTGTAAAAATTAATACTGAAGCAGTGTTGAAGTTAATGAGATAATTAAGTGATTAATTAAGTGATGATTGAGCATTATTGAAGACACCTGATGATAACAAGCAGAATCACTGAAGGAAAGAGAAACACAAGACTTACTGACTTTGAGCCGTTATTTTGTTGGTGGGGTTTGGGCTAGCATCTAGACTACATTATTGCGCTTATTATTACCAGTTTGACTTTATTTTTGTCAAACATCTCCACACGGTTTTATTTAGATTTAACAGAAGTTTAGATGGTAATGTTTTATGGAATGTTTCCGGTCACCATTATGGTGGTCAGTGTTTGCTTTAGTTGGTCTCTTGACCCTTTCCTTTTTAAGCATTTTTTTCTGACTGTTCGTAGTACCCCAGAATACAGTTTAGATGATGGGGCGGAGTCGGGATGACATGTGTGGCTCCACCCACCCCCAGTTTGATTGGTTTATAATTGCGTAGACGATTTAGGTCCAAGCATGTGCATTCTTTTATGTATGAATTTATCAATGATTTGGCCATATTAGAGAAATATTAAATGCTAACTGTAATCATACCTTATCTTATCGGTTTACCATGGTGTTTTTATTGTTATGATCTATTGGCTAATACAGGCACTTGTTCTTCAGAGAGATGACTTTAGCACGTCATTGACTGGCTTCATCATATTTCTATCAGGGTCGGTGGATCAGCACAAATTCTGGATTTTACGCAAATCTTTTACTAAAACTTAATAGTAAAAGCAAAACATTTTACTATTAGCCTGGTCATGTGAAAAGACCCCCGTGTAATGTGCGTCCAAGGGGGTCTGATCTAGTAGTGTTATGGTAAATAAGATTGTGGTATTATAGACCAATTAAATAGGGGGTGGGCGGAGCGACACGTGTCGCCCCGCCTAAAAGTTGTGCCCCGCCCCATCGTCCAGAATGCACTCTGGGGTTATTCGACTGTTCCAATGGGCTCTATGCACAATGGTGCACATATATATATATATATATATATATATATATATATATGAAGAGTTCAGATGCAAAAGCCCAGTGGTGGAGGAAGTACTGAATCTCAGTACTTAAGTAAAAGTACAAATACCCAGATAAATATTTACTTTAGTAAAAGTAGAAGTAACACAATGACAAGCATACTGAAGTAAAAAGTAAAAAGTACTTTATTTTAAATGTACTTTAAGTATTAAAAGTAAAAGTACTTGCATTATAAGTTGCAAGTCAATGTTGCAAGTACCTATAATGATGTTCAATAATGATGGGAAAAAATGTCACCATTTCTGAAACAAGCTTGCAATTAGGCAATATCATGCTTATCCTTAGTACTATATGTTAATAACTATGTTTGGCAGTAAACGCAATTCATTTATGGTGTAATTCTGAACCTCTTGGCTTGCCATAATCCTAACGAAACCAAACATATATTACACACGGTGTGTTTCCTATGCACGTAAAAACAAATTTTCGCGTATGAGTTGCATGATAAACACACTGCGTGTGAGACGCATTTAGTGTGATCGGGTTGATATACTGTATCTATGGCAACCAAACGTCACTGGTGAGACAAACGTGCAACGAACGGACGGTCAGATTACGTTTTGGCGGGGGAAAAACTGATCAGAAAATATACCGAAAATGTAACAGAAGCTGTAGAAATGTAGTTGAGTAGAAAGAATAATAATTACTGCAAAATGTAACGAAGTAAAAGTAAAAAGTATGCACTATTTATTGTACTTAAGTAAAGTAAAGATACGTGAAAAATGTACTTAAGTAAAGTAACGAAGTATTTGTACTTCGTTACATTCCACCACTGCAAAAGCCTCTAAGTGCCATTTGAAATGTTCTTCTAGAATGATAATTTTTATCAAGCTTGTATATTTAAGTTCAGTGATTTCACTTAAATGGCAATGATAATTACCTATTAATTGTTATTTAAGTGAAATTACTGAACTTAAAGTAGTTTACTGTAAATGTGGCCCTTACAAAAAGAAACAGCTTTCTGAACTTCACAAACAAATATATAATTTTGCAACATTTACAACTTTACAACCTTCACCATGCACACATGAAACAGTTTTTACACAGCAAAACCACCAGTGTTAAAATAACACTCTGAGTGTGGACTCATATAAACACTGAAACAGTGTTAAAGTAACACTGAAGCAGTGTTGAAGTTAATGAGATAATTAGGTGAATAATTGAGTGATGATTGAGCATTATTGAAGACACCTGATGTTAACAAGCAGAATCACTGAAGGAGAAAACCGTAATTTCAAATCACCATTATGGAGATCAGTGTTTGGTTTAGTTGGGCTCTTGACCCTTAAATCAATAACTTTAGATTTTGTTTGGCTGTTGTACTTGAGTATTGACAGACAGATGAACAAAGTAAAGTGTGATTTGATGCTGATGGTTGTGCTTTAACATAATCATTATTTTACAATCATTTAACCTGAATCACTGAATTATAGGCTAATTTTCAGGTATTTTGCAAATTATAGTAGCACTGTCCTTGTAAGACATCATATTTTTGACCTTTTCAATGAAACCAAATGATAAATTAAAAAAACAAAATTATATATATGTATGTTGGCACACATAGACATCAAGAATTAGCGTGTGCATCACAGCAATGGTGACAAACAGATCACTTTTGAACGTGAGCTCATTATTTATTCATGCAGCAATGCATGATGGGAGCCATGAATGAGTTTTGATTGGTGGCACCCAGAATGCACTGCAACATGGTTTATAATTGTTACCATTGTTGAGACTCACAGGCTGATTCTTGATGTCTAAAAACTGTATGAATATATATATATATATATATATATATATATATTTTAGTATTGATATGTGAACAGTGTTGTAGTCGAGACCACCTCACTCGAGTCCGAGTCGACACCGAGACCAGAGAGAGTCGAGTCCGAGTCAAGACCGAGTCCATAGAGAGTCGAGTCCGAGTCGAGTCCGAGACCAGAGACGGTCGAGTCCGAGTCGAGACCGAGACCAGTGAGGGTTGATTACCTAATTTTCTTTTATTTACTTAGAGAAATCCTTTTTTTTTTTACTGAATTTACTTAGAATTTAAAAAATATGATCAGTTTAGGGTAAAAAGGCCACATAGTAGGTGGTGTTAAAAGTAATTTTATTACAATTTGTCATGCGCAGTTGCGCACTAGAAAATCACCAATCACTGGGCGTGTCAATCAATTTAAAGAAATATTTTATTAACATACATTAATAATCATGAAAAACATTTTTAATTGAACTCGAGTGAACTCGGGAATAATTCCGAGTCCTAAAAAAAAAAATGGATCCGAGTCCAAATGGACACGAGTCCATGACAAGACCAAGACCATTAAAATATGGTCTCGAGACCGAGTCCGAGACGAGTCCGAGTCTCGAGTACTACAACACTGTATGTGAAAAGAAATCATTTGGCTTACATTGTAAATGTTTACAATGCTATGCTGTGCAAGAATAGCACCGCTTTAGTTGATGGAATAAATCTAATCAAATTATTGTTAAATAATGATTGCTTAAACACAACCAACACTACCTGACCACCTTTTGTTCATCTGACTGTTATAAGTCACATACAACAGACAAACAAAGTCTAAAATTATTGATTTAAGGGTCTAGAGCCCAACTAAACCAAACACTGATCTCAATAATGGTGACTTAAAATTTCAGTTTTTCTCTTTCAGTGATTCTGCTTGTTATCATCAGGTGTCTTCAATAATGCTCAATCATCACTCAATTATTCACTTACTTATCTCATTAACTTTACCACTGCTTTAGTGTTACTTTAACACTGCTTCAGTGTTTATATGAGTCCACACTCAGAGTGTTAATTTAACACTGGGGATTTTGCTGTGTAGGTTGTTTTTCCCCCAACATTTACTTGAAAATATTTCAGCTTAATTATTCTGAGGAATCTGTAAAAAAAAAAAAACACCAAAAAAATCCTGTTTACAAAAGACTAAATAAAATTTAAGAGCATTATATCAATGACATTAACACCTACAAAATAAGACACTCGTATAACATATTTTTCTATCATTCAAGTTGAGAATGAAAAACATTCACTCTGATATATAAAATACCCCTATAATAATGGCGCTTTTCATTTCCTGATCATGATGTTGTGGTCCTCAGTTTTGTTTGAGTCCACAGCAAAGACGTCTGAAGAACTTCCTGTACTGCTGTCGGACCTGGACAAGAATGAGACGAGAGGAGCTGAGTGACTTCATGACATCAATTTATCCCCTGAAGGCCTGTTCACACCGGGACGACGTTTAACGCCTTGTGACTAACAAAGGGGTCAATCTGAGTGTAAAATACAACTTAGGGACGCTCAAACACAAAACGGTCTTGCCGAGCAAACATCCGTAACGGCGAAGAAGAAATAAGCCAAGTATTTCGCACGTCAGCGACTACAAAAATCTTGATAAAAGAGAACTGTAATGGAGTGGGATTGCAGAGCAAATGGTCGCCATTTGATGCCAGGGAATGAATTTCATGTTCACTCGGCTCATCGTCAGAGAGAAATCGCTAGGGTGTGAACACATAAAACGCTGTGCACCGATATTCGTCCCGGTGTGTACGGCCCTTGAAACTCATGAACCACAGTGGAATTTCCTTATAATAAACATGTAACAAAACATGTTTAAAGAGACTAGATTTGCATTTTCAGAAGTAAATATAGCTACTTTATATATTGTCTCTGCAGAGAGTAAAACGGTTTTCCTATGGAGTGTGATGATAAAATGTCTGAACTAATTAAGGAGGACAAAAATGATTTTAAACACTGAAGTTTGAAGTAGTTTGAAAACTTGGAGTTTGAGAAGAGTGATGCTAATGCATGAAG